ACACACACACACACACATATTTTGTGTCTGTCTCTCATTCTCTCTCCTCTTACTGACACGCACACCGGCTTATTTTACCTCCGAGTCAGCACCCACTACATAGTGTACAATCAAACAGACATACCTCACCTCTGACCCTTAGACAGTGTGTCTCGTCAGAGCCTGCAGTAATAACTACTGTTGATCCCCTGTTGACACATGACTGTCTCGGCACATGCACCGCAGGCCTGTGATGGATGGAATTAGGCAGTCAAAAATAGAACATCCAGTTCCTCACCTGCCCACCGTTTGTTTGCACAGAACAAATTCACACACTTGTGTCACGCTACTTATCTGCCTCACGGACCACTCACGGGCCACACACTGATTTCACAAAAGATATGAAGGAAAGAAAATGTCTGGGAGGAGACCAGACAAAAAGATTCTTGGGTATTTGAAGAGCTTTGGTCTTAATGGATGGAGGGTTTACATGCAGTCTGGCTCTCTCCTGTATCAAGTAATGCAGCTGTCAGAGACAGAGCCACCAGTGGAATCCATCCCTTCATCCTTGCCACTCACAAAAAGCTTTTAACTCCCCTGCTGATCATGGACGTTATGCTCCGTTATGCTCTGCATAGAGAAGTCAATAAGTGAATGGCGATGTGGTGAGCCTGAGTTGTGTCAGGAATCCCCAGTGTTTGACTTATTCTAAACACAAGATCTTTATACGCAGTTAGAGTGCTGTCCAAACCAAAACTGTTTTTGACCTGAGCTTAAGCAGGTGTTTGCCATATTTGCCATTATTCAAGAAGCAAATGTCAACGCAAAACAGCAAGGTGTAGTGCCTGAAGAAGAAAGCCTTTTGAATGAACTTGGCGTGTGAACGTGCACTCCGCAAATGTCGGAAAATGCTCACGCATGAGGCCCATTGTAAGATGTTTCCAAAACTCTGGGAAACATGTGCTTTAAATATTGAAGAGTCCTCTGGAACAGTTTACCTTCCAGCCGCAAGCCACAGATTCCATATCAGCTCTAATAACTTAACCTGCCACTTCATGGTGTTATATTTTTGTGAAACATGGAAACCACAAACTCCAAATACTTGAGACACCCACAAGACAATTTAGGCTTTAAGGGATCCCAAAAGGAATGTACTGTATGTTAATTCAATGTATGTACAGGCACATTGCAAAACATGACAGCCATAATTTCTTTTTTTCTTTATTTACCTTATCGTGGTCACTACTGTGGGGTGTATTCAAGCTGCCGTCCATCTCAACCATCAGCTGTCAGTCTTGATGTCAGTCACTGATACAAGAAGCCCAGATGACACTGTGTTTTTTGACAAAAAGCAATTGCCTTCATGACGCCTCTACAGATGGTGCCTGCTACAGCTTTCAGTGTTCGGCTGCAGAGATGACAGAGAGCTTATAGGTTTCAGATGTGATCCAGCGTTGCCCTTCTGAGACTCCTAGATGGAGGACATTATATAGTGAATAAATCCAAACGGTTTGTGTGCTGATCCTCTGCTCCTCTCCTTTTTTCAGAACTTCCTAGCGACCAGTAGCTGTCCAGAGATCCAGGGTTATCTGTATGTGAAGGAGGTGGGTAGGAAGTCATGGAAGAAAGTTTACATGTTCCTGCGGCGCTCAGGACTCTACTGCTCTACAAAAGGAACCTCAAAGGTAACAGCAACTCACATATTTTCATCTTTAAGGGGCAGAATTTCATTGTAATTTTTCTATTCTAATCTTTCTTTTTTAACGTTGTAATTACAGGCTTTATTTATCATTAGATAATTCATATGCATACTACATTAACATTATATAGTAATAAAACAGTAAATATTCCATATTAAACATTATTACTTTCAAAGAATCAGCTTTTTATTGATGTTGGACTCAACATGTCAGTATACCTCCAGGCTGTGTCTCTCTGTGATGTTCTGACTTAATTCTGACTAATTATTTCTGTCTCCAGGAGCCCAGACATCTACAGTTACTAGCAGACCTTGAAGACAGCAACATATTCACTGTCATCACAGGCAAAAAGCAGCATGGTGCACCGACAGACTATGAGTTCTGTATCAAGGTGAGTCTCACCTGACAGTAGTGAGATGGAGATGATTTCTAATGGAATATTATGAGCTGAGCAATGATTGACATGCTGTGCAGCTCCCTATCTCATGAGAACGGCGTTTGCATTCATATGTATATATGACTGCAGAAGGTTGTGAGGATGATGAGCATGATTACCTCTTTTCGGATTCTGAAAAATGTTTATTTGCAGCCCAATAAAGGTCGTGGGGAGTTGAAGGAGCTGAGGATTCTGTGCGCCGAGGATGAACAGGGCAGGACTTGTTGGATGACTGCCTTCCGACTCTTTAAGGTAAAACCATGACAGTCTCAAAAAAAGCCTTTTTACCAAAAAAAAATTTACCAAACTTTGGTCAGGAAGTACATAATTACTGGGCTGGATCCAGTTTCTTAAACTCGGCCGAGATCAAAAATAGGTTTGGAAGTTGAGTAACCAGCAAATCTTTAATTATTTATAATCCACTCATTACGAATTTTAGAAGTGTTGGTTGACCAGTGTGTTAATTTTTCTTTACAGTATGGGATTGTATTGTACCAGAATTACAAGATTCCTCAACAAAGAAAAACCTTACTTTCACACTTCTCAGCACCTGTGGTAAGTTTACCTCTTAATTTAAAATTTAGTTAGAGCACCTTAAAACCTTTGCATAACTCCCAGATCTGTGACATAAACATAACATTGATTGTGCAGAAATATTGTTGTACTGTATGCACCAGGAACATCTAACAAGTTTAGGAGAATGACTTTCATCAAAATGCTTACCTGTGCCACCCCACGTTTTATTGCACTGCCTGCAGCCTGGTCACTCTTATTGCTGCCTTTGTGTCCACATTTTGACTCTGATGTGTCTCTGTCTCCCCCTAGCGGAGTGTATCGGAAAACTCCCTTGTGGCAATGGATTTCTCAGGGAGGATAGGCAGGGTGATTGACAACCCTGTGGAAGCTCAGAGCGCTGCCATGGAGGAGGGGCATGCATGGCGGGTGAGACACAACCTCCGTTTTACTGTTATCTCTGTCAACAATGCTAGGAACGGACCTCAAAGGATCTCTACAGTTGGCATTATTTATTTTTCTCAAATATTCATACATAGCAGGTTTTCCTCTGGTTGTACGTGTTGATTTTTCAGTTATTTTGAGCTGACAGGAGTAGTTGTGTGTGTTCATAAAGCTGATATGACTAGGGCAGCTGCCAAAATATGAAAAGTGTGAGTCTTAAACTCCGGCCACAATAATTAAGTCAGTATAACCCAGTACATTTAAGACAATATTAGCAATGGCTGTTTCACATTTAACTGTTAAGAAATGGGAAGCTTCACCACCATGTGTAGAGAAACTGTAATACAGTTCATTAACCACGCGTCATGTATTCCAGATCATGAACTAATCCCTGTTGTTTTGTCTGTATGTGGCGTCTCTCTCAGAAGAGGAGTCAACGAATGAACATTTTAGGCTCCCACAGTCCACTACACCACTCCTCATTAAGCTCAGGTAAATGCAAAGACATTTACGATTAACAAAATAGTTGATCTTTCACTTTTTCCAACTTTTTTTTAGTTTATATATACATTTTTTTTTTAACTATATTGTATTATATTATAATTATATTGTTATATTGTTATTATGTTTTTTTCCCCTCTGCAGTCATCCACATAGCTCAGTTGTGGTTCCATGGCAGGATAACTAGAGAAGAATCCCATCGCATTATCCACCAGCAGGGACAAGTAGATGGGTAAGGGAGCTAAAGCACATTTTTCCTATATTCACTGAATATGAATATAACTTTAACTTTTTCTTGACTGCAAAGACAAAATTGAGTCAAGTGAATGTTTTCCTCACAGCGTCCTCCTCTCTTATTTCACAGGTTGTTTCTGCTGAGAGTCAGTCAGAGTAACCCCAAGGCGTTTGTGCTCACATTGTGCCATCACCAGAAAATCAAACATTTCCAGATACTACCGGTATGCATTTATTTGTGTTTAATGTTGTTGGTTTTTAAATAAAATGTTTTTTCTTTATCAATTAGTGGACATTAAATGTTGAAAGTACATGTTACAAGAGCTTGCTAACAAGCCCAATTATGTAAAACCAGTGTTATGGCCCTAAAAATTCTCTCTTTTCTCTCACCATGTGGTGTGTCCCTGCTCGCTCTCGCCTGGACCCTTTGATGCCGGCAGTGTGAAGAGGACGGCCAAGTCTTCTTCAGCCTTGATGACGGCGCCACCAAATTCACCGACCTGATTCAGCTGGTGGAGTTCTACCAGCTCAACAGAGGAGTGCTGCCTTGTAAACTCAAACACCCGTGCACCGTCGTGGCCTTATGACATCTGCGGACCATCTGACCCCATGACCCCTATCACATGACCTGACTCTGCCTAAAACAAACAAAACAACAAGAACCTTTCTGTTGGGCGGTTCTTTTTGGTTTTATCTTTATAAGAAGCTGGTGAATTGACTGATGTTTTCTTGTTGTCATTTTCTATTGTCGTGAGTCCGCCGGAGACTGCTGACTTGTTGGATTCCTTTTGGTTTGCATGGATGTTCGAGGAGTCGTATGCACAACAACGAGGTTCAGTAGTCAAGAAGAGAGAAGATAAAGGAAATGAACACTGCCGTTTGTGTCAATGCTGTTGCAGAATCTTCCACAATCTTGCTACCCATAGTCATCAATAAGCTTGGACACAGTGACCCTCAAGGTTTTATCACACAGCTCAAGTTTAGACTGTGTTTCCCTTCAACTGGACAATCAGTAGGACAATTCAAGCTGTTGTGTGGACCACTCTGCTCTGAACAAACAGTAGTTTCATTCAAACTTCATCACACGTCCTCAAAGAATATACTGTAGATGGAGATTTGATTGTCTCTTAGTTTTGCACTCATCGAACTGGGAATGGCCTTTTGACAGTGCATGACTTCTCCGCTGTTGCATTACTTAACTGTGAGATGGTGCCACTGCCCTCTAGTGTCGTAGGCCTGTAAGGACGTGTCAAAATTCAACATGGATGAGATTCGGATGCGCCTGAAAGTTTTTGAGTCCTTTTGAGGTTGGGAAACATCAAAAGTTTGTCAAATCAAACTAGCATGGAGAAAATGGCTAAGGAAAAATCTGGAACTGTAAAAAGTCAAAGTATTTTTTTAAATAGTGGACAATACAAAATCTGCATTGTCCACCCTCAAATTCATTTGTTCATCTCACACTATTCTTAATGATACATTTATTGCAGTTATGTATTGTTATTGATATTCTGTTTTCTTTAAGTCCACCTTTTGCATTCTGGATAGTTGTGGCTCTTCATTATTCACATAAGCTTCAAAGAGGTCATTCTGTACTCATGTTATTTTATTATCAGCTCCAGTTAAAGTATTTCCCATGCAACTTTCACAAAACTGAATAAGCAAACCACGGTGTCATTCAGGGTGAAATAACAAGTGATAGTGCTAGAAGAATTTTGTAACGAGGTAGACCGTTTTGGTGGTAGTAATGTTAAAAAGTGAAACCAGGTAACTATTTTGGGGGAAATTAGAAAATGCAGCCATTTGCAGCAGTTCACTGCAGGCAAAGTAATACCAGTTGCAAAAGATAAAGTCAGACAATGGAAAGTATCAATCTTTTGTGCGATTCTCCTCACCACAACACAGGGAGGGACAACCACTAGCATTTCCTTCAGGTGTTTTTCCAATGACAACAAATCAAAAGAAACACAAAATAATGAATCATTGTCAGCCAGGAGATACAGTGGATCCCATGGGAAACATCTGTCCTCATTCTGGAAGCTCTTTTCACATATGTTTTTCATATTTTTCCACAAATTGCCGCCTACCTGATGGAAGTCAGGGATATGCTGTCAAACATAAATGTGGCTAGGGACTCCACACTGATAGTAGACTGTGCATTACATTCCATATAGTGCGGCCTTTTTCTACCTGGAAGTACTTGTGAACCATTAGTATCACTTAACACCTACTGCCTACTGCACGCCACCTCTGTATGAATTCTGACTGTCTTAAAAAGTAAGCTACAGTGTGGACAAAATGTGAAAGGAGAGAAGAATATTGTAAACAAACAATAGCTGCATCTCTTTCTCTATCTCTCAACCTGTCTCGCCCGGTCTCATCACACTTTCTTTAGCCTGTTGTTGTATAAAGTGAAAATACCCTCAGTGGTGTGGCAGCAACATAAAACTGAAGTTCAGGAGAATTCAGACTTCAAAATACAACTGATTATTTTAACCCATGTCCCTTCATCTTTATTCACTGAGTTGCCTCTGGGAGACGACAATGAGAGCGTCAGACAGAAAACAGAGGACATAAAACTTAGTTAGTTTGTGGGCACTGGATTCATCTACCTTTTGTCCCAGACTGTGCAATTTCAGCAAAAATCTATTGTTTTCTTAATGCCAGCCAAGGTCAGTCAAAGAAGTCTACATTTAAATGGATTTCCCTTTGTGTTTTGGCCGAGTCTATGCTGGAAATCCTTAACTATAGTGAAAGAAAGATTTCACCACGGCGTCTCTAGATAACCAGGATCACTTTTTTTTTTTTTTTTTAGATAGGGATACTTTTTCAGCACCTATTGATCACATCTGGCAGAATGGAGCTAAATAGACAACACATGAAGGGCAAAACCCAGCCATCTCAAATTCTGGTAAGACAAACATTAGGTAAATGCGCCAAGTTATTGCAAGTATTTCTGATTATATTTATACTCAAAGTTTATCAATTCGGTTCATATCCATCTTTGAAATGTCTCACCACAAATAACAGTTTTCAACAGCAATATAGCAAGTTCAAATTTTTCACCTGAAATTTCTAAAACCTCACACTTTAAAGTTTTATTTAGTCCAAACTTTGGTGGTAGCTCTGGTTAGATCACCAGCCAGCTGACAATTAGATATCTATTTGTACCTAGCTGTAATACAACATCAACAGCCATGATTTATTTACCTGCAGGTTGTCTTAAAGTATATTGAACATCTGAGATGCAGAATAGCTGTACCATATTGACTCTATGTGCATGTTCACCCTTATTTATC